AATTTTAAGTAGGTAGGTATATTAACTAAATTAAAAAAAAGCGTAACCTTACCTAATAGTTCCGCACGGCAAGTCGTCCGTAGCACACGTCTGTTGACCGTCGTGCACGTACACTATCGCCTTTCGCTTATCGCTTCATTAAAATTAAAATTAATGACCACTAAATCGAACCGTATCATTCAGTATAATTATCATCGTTTTCCGTATATTTCCACACGCTAAATCAAAAACACAACCTAATCCGAAACCACCGCCGTTAAATCGGCCGTAGGCCGTTACCTGCAACTTATTAATTACTGCATCATGCAACGAAACAACTCAGACACTAATAAACTTAAAAACAAACCGAAATTATCTCCGGTAATTATCACAAAAACTATTTCTCACAAGACGCAGGACGCAACTTCTCCGTCTGCCACCTCAGATAACGACCAAGAATGGATTGCTGCCGACAACAACAAACGCATTAGGTCACCTAATAACACTACGTCACCTCGCTCAAAAAAAACAAACGAGCCGTCAAATTTCTCATCACCAAATCGCTATTCTCTACTCGACATCGACGAAGTTAATATGGATCTGGATTCTAACACAGAAGTCAACGAATCACATCCATCACCACCTCCTCCTCCACCAATTTTCTTAACATCTCCGATTAATTTCATTACTCTATGTAAAAACCTGGAAAAAATAACGAAAACCGAGGGTTTCCTTTGCAAGTCCAACTCAAAAAATATAAAGATAAACCTACACTCAGCCAGTTCTTACCGTGCCGCTATAACATTGTTCAACGAGAACAAACTTGAATACCACACGTACCAGACACACGAAGAAAAATCTTACAGAGTCGTTATTAGAAATCTGCACCATACAATCCCTACTGATTACATTAAAGAAGAAATTGAAAAACATGGTTTTATGGTAAAAAACGTCACTAACATCCTAAAATCTCAATCAAAAGAACCTCTTCCACTATTCTTTGTAGACCTAAACCCATCTCCAAACAACCAAGACATCTTCAAGATAAGTAATATATGTTTCACTAAAGTAAAATTCGAAGCCCCACACATCAGACGAGATCTAGTCCAATGCCATCGTTGTCAACAGTACGGCCACACTAAATCATATTGCAATCACCAGCCTAAATGCGTCCGATGCGGCGAAAACCATACCTCGGATCAATGCTCCAAATCCAAGGACCTACCTGCAAAATGCGCACTTTGCAGCAAGGCCCACCCGGCAAACTACAGAGGATGCACTGTCCACAAAGACCTCCAACGTTTCCGTAAAAAACAACAACCGATCACCATCTCAAGACCGACAACAGAAAACTTCGACACACCTCAAGTCCAACCCAACAGCCAAGTCCAATCCAACAACCAACCTCCTCCAGGAGCACCACATTTGATCAATGCTCCCACAAGATCTCTAAATGAACCCAGCGACACCCAGCACTTATCATTCTCTCAAGCGGTTAAAGGTAATAAATCAAATAAGTTAAAATCAAACCACATAAACGACCCACCCTCCGACCAACTATTCACAAGCCAACTTACAACTTTCATATCCGAGTTTAAATCTCTAATCTCTCCCCTCATAACACTTCTTAATCCCCTAATAACCCTTCTTACCTCACTAATAAATAAATTAAGTACCAACCATGGAAACTAACTTTAAACTTAGATTGCTCACATGGAACGCAAACGGCATTACCCCCCATAAACTTGAACTGCAGGCATCCCTCAATATTCATAACATAGACATAGCAATGATATCCGAATCTCACCTAACCCCAACAAAGTCTATTAAAATTCTTGGATACAAAGTTTATCAAAGTAATCACCCTGACTCCACTGCCCACGCTGGATCGGTGATCCTAGTTAAAAATAATCTATCCCACTCCCTTCTTCCTTTTATAAGTGAAACATATCTCCAAGCAACAAGTGTCCAAGTTTCTGTCAACAAACATTTTAATCTGTCTTTCTCCTCCATCTACTGCCCTCCAGGACCTAAAATTAACTCTAACAATTTCAAAAATTACTTCGAATCTCTAGGTAAGCACTTCATTGTCGCCGGAGACATTAATGCCAAACACTCTTCTTGGGGTTGCCACTCAACCAACCCTAGAGGCAGAGTCCTTTATAACTCAACAAATAACTCGAACATAAAAATATTACCACCCTCTAACCCCACCTATTGGCCAACACATCAAAACCGTCGCCCAGATATCCTGGATATCTTCATCGCAAGAATACCAAGTAACTGCACTACCAATATCTCCAACACAAACGACCTGTCATCCGACCACTCACCAATCATACTCGACCTCGAAATTCCCTGTTCAAACTCTTCCACAAATCCTCAAAATCTTGGAAAAATAGATTGGCCTACCTTCCAACAACTCATTGAGACTCCCACACTACTCAACCATTCCTTAAAATCAAGCGAAGACATTGACAGCACTATCCAAAGGCTCACTTCAGATATCCAGGAATGCATTCACCTAGCAACAACTCAAATCACAATTTACCCTAATAACCTACTTCCAAATCATATAAAACATCTTCTCCGTGAAAAACGAAAAGCAAGATCCCGGTGGCAAAGGCACAAATACCCCATCGACAAACACACCTACAACCAACTAAATAATAAACTAAGGAAAGCACTCCAACATCACAACTCCTTCACCTATCAACAATTTATCCAAAACCTAACAACTCATAACTCTTGTCTCTGGAAAACGACCAAAAAAATCCTAAAAACTATCTCAACTTCCTCTCCCCTCCGTAAAGAAGATAACTCATGGGTGGTTTCTGACACAGAAAAAGCAAACCTATTTGGCCAACATCTATCCCAAACCTTTACCCCACATGACATAACTCTAAATCCCACTCAAAGCCAAATTGTCACACATTCCTTAGAGTCTGCATTACCCGTCTCACTACCAGCCAAACACACAAGTCCCGGCGAAATCGAATTCATTATAAAAAAAACTCCATAACAGAAAAGCCCCTGGGTTTGACCAAATTACAAATCGTATTGCCAAAAACCTACCCAAAAAAGTAATCATATTACTTTCCTATATATATAACGCAATGCTGCGTTTATCCTATTTCCCCCTTACCTGGAAATTCTCAGAGATAATAATGATCCCAAAACCCCACAAACCTCCTGAAAAAGTAACCTCTTATCGCCCTATAAGTCTACTCCCAACATTATCTAAAGTATTCGAAAAAATCCTATTAAAGAGACTCATACCACTAGCTATTTCGGCAAAAATTATCCCCGACACTCAATTTGGATTCAGACCCAATCACTCTACCATTCATCAACTCCACAGAGTAGTAGACACTATCTCAGTTTCTCTAGAGAAAAAACATTACTGCGCTGCCGTCTTTCTAGACGTCGCACAAGCGTTTGATAGGGTATGGTTTGATGGCCTACTATTCAAACTTAAAAAATTTCTGCCTGCGCCTTACTTCCTATTGGTTAAATCATATTTGAGCGATCGCACATTCGTCGTACGCCAGAACTCGAGCCACTCAAACTATTTCAATATCTTAGCCGGAGTTCCCTAAGGCAGCGATATTGCTCCTTTTCTGTACAATATCTTTACGCACGACATCCCTAAAACTTCCTTTACTGAACTCGGTTCCTACGCGGACGATACGGCAATTGTGGCCTCCAATGAAAACCCAAACACAGTTTCTAATATGTTACAAAGACACCTTAACATAATTGACCTCTGGACAAAAAGATGGAAGATCAAAATCAATGAAACCAAGTCCTCCTTCATAACATTCACCCTAAAAAAAGGATCTTGCCCCGTAGTTACATTAAACAGCATCCCAATACCTTCCTACTCTGAAGTCAAATATCTTGGCCTCATCCTCGACAGTAAACTTACCTGGAATCCCCACCTAAAAGCCAAACGAAAAGCCCTTAATACCCGACTCCACCTCCTTAGACCCTTACTGAAATCCAAAATGAATATCAACATCAAACTTCTAATTTATAAGTCACTACTCAGGCCACTATGGACTTATGGCATCCAATTATGGGGTGCCGCTAAACCCTCAAACACCCGTACAATCCAAGCCTTTCAGTCAATATGCCTTCGCCTAGTTGCATCAGCACCCTGGTACTTAACCAACAATAATCTCCACAAAGATCTCAAAATCCAAAATCTTAACCAAATCTCCAAACTATATTACACCAGACTCCACAACAAATTTCAACATCACACAAATCCACTAATCTCTAAACTATCAACCAACTCACTCCCTGGTAACCCGCGCCGTAGACTAAAAAGGCAATGGTGTAGAGATCTTCTTTGAAAAGTGAGCTTAATAAGTGCTGGAGGTCGCTACCAGGTAACACCTCCAAACCCAAATTAATTACTTATTTACTGTCTTATATTATACAACTATATATATTTTTTTTTTTCTCTCTCTTCTCTCTCTCTTCATTGTTATTCATGTCATAGGGTGTTACCACTGGGTATCTTCCCTAATCTAACTAATCATATCATATTTTTACCTTTCTTATATCAAACCTACTTATTGTACAAAAGCATGTATAGATTGTAGATTTCTTCAAATAAATAAAAAAAAAAAAAAAAAAAAACCTTACCTAATAGTTATAGATAACCATAACTATAGGTAAAAAAATTAATAATAATGCTATCATACGCTAGGTACGTGGTATAAGAATACAAGATAGGTGCAATAAATAAATAATTATACTAGTGTTATACTGTTATATTATTTATATAGGTACTAAGGTACTTATAGTTAAGAGGATGTCAGCGCACTATTAATTGTTTTCTCTTTCTGGCCCTCGTACAACATAGACAAAATCATTTTTTCTATGTTTTTAAGTAATCTTAGAGTAAAATTACCCATTACAAAAAAGATAGACAATACTATTTTTGAGGGAATGACATATCGATTTGTCTAAATATTGTCTCAAAACTATTTAAACATAATTTAAATTTACAAAAATTTTTGTTTATTTTGAAATTAAAATAGGTACTAAGGCAAATAATAATTAAATATAAAATAGATATGTCATTCTCTCAAAAATATTATTCTCTATCTTTTTTGTAATTGGTGATTTTACTCTAAGATTACTTAAAAACATAGAAAAAATGATTCTACGTTAATGCATTTTGTCTATGTTGCTAGTACCTATAGGCCAGAGAGAGAAAACAAATAGTGCAATGACAATAAAATTATTGACATCCTCTTAATACCTTTATAGGTAGGTACTTACAGGCAGTTAGGGCCATATGATTCTTGAAATTGTGAATTTTAAAATTGTTATCATGTTTTATAAGTTGAGGTTTAATATTAGGTAGATATTAGGGAATGCTAGAAAAAAGTCCCCGACAAAAAAAGTGCCCGTCAATAAAATCATATAGGTAAAAAACATAATTTACCATTTTGTTAATTATTAATTATTATTTATGTTCGTTATATATAATTAATAAATAAGCATAAATTATAGCCTTAAATAGCTGTATAGCTATAGGACATGTAAAACCGTGAACACTTATTATAAATAAGTAGGTACCTACCTATATATTAGATATTATTTGTTTTTCTCAATGTGTGATATTGTTTCATCAGAACATTTGTATTTAGGTACCTATATATATATTTAAATACACATGTTTTATTAATTTAAAGTTCGATGAGTTGTCGGCTTATGACTGTTATCATATAACATATATAATAGGTAATACATATTATATGTATATAATTATTTATTATAGGATTGTAGTATTTTAGGCTATATAACACTAATCGAGTTGCACCACTGACTATAATATGAACTATGACTTTAGTCTGTGATTGTACCTTGTAGTTTGTACACTATTTCCGTACCTAAGTATGTACATAGATTGCTATTGTTTAATATTGTAAACATTGTAGGTACAATCTTAGTAGTTTATTCGGTTTAACAATACTCTGTTCCAAACTTCGAAAAGAGAATATTGTATATTATGCTACTATGTAATTATTATTTATTATGCAATATTTTCCCCTTCCACAGGTCACCTATGTCGACATGTGGGAGTTGCTCGGACAGAAACCGGTCTCCGACTGCTATATAGTATTTACTTATCACTTTTGGAACAGAGTATATTAGTCTGCTATTGAAGTGTATACTGTATAGTGCAGAGATATTGAAACTTTTTCATTCCACGGCTTCTCCGTCTCATTGCAACATTTTGGCGGCTCTCAAATTTGTAAGGACACAGAAAGAAAAATATGTTTTAATGTTTAATCATTTATGATAATAATATTAGGTATATAATATAATATTGTAAATACTAGAATACCTACCTACATTAATTATACATAGTCATAAAGAAACTAATTAATTTAAAAATAATTATGCATATTATGTAGAAAACTGAAGTTAAATGTATTACGTTTAAAATAAATATTATAAAATAATAGAATATTAATCATCATTATTTTTTTCTCTTCTGTGTCACGGGCTCGCTTGACTGTCTCGTGACAATTTAAATACCTCTGTAGTCTGTACTGTATATAGTGCATAAATTCAGTGCTTGAATTGAGTGGTGACGCGAGGAGGTGGGCAGAGACCCTCCTCTTTATTGAAAATAATTATCCCTAGGAAGTAGGTAACCCTTTCTATAATTATATCTTAATCGTATTGACATTTAAATATTCAGGTACACATATTTTTTTTTTACACTTTGCATACCTACCCATTCAATTTTTTTCCAATTCAAGTACTGTGTATATAATATATCATATATTCATAACATGGGTGTTTTCACTGGGTGGGTTTAGTGGGTTCAAACCTCCCCTCCCATGGAAACTTTACAAATATAATATATGCACTTACATATAATTATATTATTTTATTGGAAACAAATCTAGTTTACCGTCAACTCGAATTTTTCAATTTTTTTTTTTTGGAATCCTATGTATTACGAGTTAAGGGTGTTGCAAAAATAAATCGCCAGAAATCATTAGTTTTTAAGTTATAGCTTTACAAAGTTCACGATTTTCGGTGTTTTACGCATTCGTGCAATTTTATCGAGCGTTTGGAAATTTTTATTTTCCACTTTCAATGAACAACTTTTTTTTTCAATTTTGTTTGTTTTAACTTATCTATGTATAGCTGATCATTATGAAAACGATGAGGAAGTCTTAATTCGGATGTCGGACTTATTTTAAAGTTATAGCTAATTGAAATTTTTAATATTTTCATATTCACCCGGAGTGATTAGGTTAGGTTAAGCTGGACTCTCGCTCGGACAATTAAAATCGAAAACATCCCTCGACTTGTTGTGTAAAATCACCATGGGTGGGTGTCAGAATTATTTTTGCAAAATAATTTTAAAAACGTTGATTTACCTAGGTAACAAAAAAAAATTTAAAACTCGTTATAAGCATGGTAAACTATGTGCGTTGTTCGTGTGCGTAAAATACCGAAAATCGTGAATTTCGTAAGTCTATACCATAAAAACTTAAAAAACTAATGATTTACATTTTCCGCCAATTGATTTTTGCACCATCGTTCTTAACTGTTTGTAATATACATAGGTTTCCAAAAAAAAAATGGGAAAAGTCGAGTGGGCACTAAAATAGATTTATAACGCTAAATTTAACAAATATTTTGTTTGAACCCCCCCCCCCTCCCTAAATCCAAAACTTCTGAGCACATTTCTGTAATCATATTATATGCATTACAATATCCTAATTTGTGATTATATATTAATATATTATTATTATAGTTCATTTATATTTTTAGTTTAAGGTTGAAATCGATGTCACCTGCAACTGAGGGCAAAATGATTTATGAAGATTTGAAATCAAAAGTAAATATACATCTCGCTAACGTTGTACCTATCTACAGTTTATTTTTTTATTAGAGTAGTATAAATTAATGGAGTTTATAAATGTATTTTTTTTTACAGTTTGATCAAAACGGTTACGTTGTAATAAAAAATTTTCTGAACGAAAAGGAGACAATGGAGCTCAAGGATGCAGGAGAAAAACTCACCGAGAATGTGCCGGCTGGCGTTAAAACCGTGTTTGCTACCAGTCAAACGAAACAAGTAATAGACCCCCCTTCATTCTCCAGTTAAGTTCCTACATTTTTAAATTATTTTACAAATATTTTGATAACAAAAAAAAATAACATTAATTTCTAAATAGTTACCTATTTGTTTTATCATGAGCCCTGATTCACGAGTATGGAATTCCACAAGGCACCATGCCTTAAAACGAGCCTGCAGGTTATTTGATGCGGCTGAATTAAACACTTTTGTGATCGTTGCGTTTTTAATACTTATATAATACTTTGTGCATTTGATTTATTCATTACAATATTTGAATACAATACCTATCTAACGGCACCAAGCTGTATTTCTAAACAATTGTATAGGGAAAAACATAACAAAAAAAAATCGTCGAAATTTTCTTGTCCTCCCCCCTAACAACATGTCTCTAGAGCCTCCCCCGTACCGAGCACATACATCCTGCAGCATATCCCGTGTGTGCATTCTCATCAGTATATATATGCACACTTATGAGTTATGACAAATGATAATACATAATATTAATTTTATTAATACACAGGTGGCCGACGATTACTTCTTAGATAGTGCCGACAAAATATCATTTTTTTACGAAAAAGCTGCTCTGGACAACGACGGACACCTGCAGGTCGATGCCTCGTTGGCGCTGAACAAAGTCGGCCATGCCTTACACAGGTTGCACCCGACGTTCGAGGCGTGCACGTACAGCGACAAGGTGACAAATGTCTGCCGAGCTTTGGGCTTAGTGAAGCCGGTAGTGCCGCAGAGCATGTACATCTACAAAAACCCCGGTGTCGGTGGCGAAGGTCAGTTTAATAAGACTGGACCCCCTGAAATTTCTTCAATATGTCTTATTTTTAACCAAATATCAATAAAATTACGATATACATGTTTTGTTACTCATTAAGAGTCTTGGGCAATCACCCGGAATGTAAAAGGACTAATACGGGGGGGGGAGGGGTTGAATAGTGAAAGAGAAATGGTCATTTTAATAACATATTATACGTTTCTATACCACATAGGTAGCCAGGTAGGTACAGTAGTATACCATTTTTAAATGACCTATATATACTAGCGGACCCTGTGTAACAGTCCTTAAAGTAAAGGCCTTTTACTTAAGTTACCTATAAAATAAAATAATAACGGCAGTCGGCAATTATTTGGTGTAGGTTATAAACTTATAACGTATAGCCTATATCAGCTGCCAGCTATAGGTATACAAATAAAACAGCAGTAAATAATAATTCACTTTTTGGCCATTATCCATTGTACCACGTTCACGAGATCTCATGAGTCTTGATATTGTGTATTGTAGTAACATAAATGGCAGGTAAAACTTTTGCAAACTTGCCACAAACTTAAAAACAAATATACCCAAGGATTGTTACATTACATATTAACATTGTACAAATTGTACATGGCTTCTGAATTTCGCGGTCGGAGGTACCTATGCAATATTAATACCTAAGTTTATGCATACAGGCATACACGGATACAGCAATAAGCCAATACCTACAGAATATACGCTGTGTCACAACCAGGATTCATTTTCGGTGGCGGGAGGGCGGGTGGTTATAATAGGGCGTTAAGTTATAGGTTTATGAGTATAATCTTTAAATTACAAATCCAATTGCTTATATCTATATTTCATTTATGGATAATGCATATTGGGAAAAAATGTATATACCTATAGGTACTGGCTCTATACTCATATTATTAAATATTGAAATAAAGTTAACTTTATATACCTTACAACGTTGTTTCAAAAATCGCTTTACAAATTATACAAGTATACAACATAACGTAGAATTCGTAAAAAAAACCAGTTGTATACGTATAAACACTAGACCCTAGTTGCACCATTAAGCATATTATACGTATAGGTAAAAATGCATATATAAATATACCTAACTCTTGTATAATATTATTTTCAAATACCTATATCTAGTCATCTCGCATCAAGATTCCACATTCCTCTTCACGGAACCAGATTCATTGGTCGGATTTTGGATAGCCTTGGATGATGCCACTCTAGAGAACGGTTGTTTGTGGGTGATACCGGGTTCTCACAAGACCGACATACACAAACGTTTTATTCGTAACCCAGACAAATCCAGTGCAATAAGTCAAACAATTTTCCAGGGAACACATCCAGAATATGAACAGTCGTTGTACGTACCGTTAGCCGTTGAGAAATGTAAGCTTTATATTCTACTTATATAATATAAGGATTTTAAAACTAATACATTCGTATAATAAATGGATTTAATTTGCAGCCAGCCTCGTCTTAATACACGGAAAAGTGGTACACAAAAGTGAACAGAACAAGTCACAGTATTCGCGACATGCCTACACTTTCCATGTATTTGATGAAGGAATTAGCCAATATTCTGAACAGAATTGGTTACAGACAAAAGTTGGATTCAAACCATTATATATTGTATAAACATTATAAACAGAAATACATTAATTTTACACGACAAATGTAGGTACATTTTTATTATGAACCCTTTTCAAATAATATAACCACGATGCGCTAGCCAAGGCCCAAGACTAGACAAAAATAACGTGAATCTATTATTAAGGGGCCTCACCGCCACGTCTTTTTTTGTCAAAAACTACTTTTTCTATAATTCCAACGATACGTGTCGATAATTATCACGATTTTCATTCTGAAAAAATATTCGGTTTGTCCGTAATATATGCAAAGGAACGATCGAGCTAAATTTTAAATTTTTGTAATTTAAAATTTAAATTGCAATAAATATTGAAAAAATTCAAAAAAAAAATCAGAATTTCCGACTTAAATATTTAATTAACTAAATTCAATTTTAAAAATGGCTCGATCGATCTCTCGTACATTATGTTGTGGAAAAAAAGAATATTTTGTCAGAATGCAAATCTAGGTAATCGTTGCGACGTATTGTTGGAATTAGGATCGTATGTTGGAGTGAAAAATAAACATTATTTATTTTCATGATCACTGATCACAATATTACATAATGACATGTGAGAGCCCTCCGTACCGCTACAATTGACCCGCATGGACGCCACACACACTATAATAATCATTTAAGACTAACTTACACATAGATCTCAGGTGGCGAGGTTATAAATTGCCTAAATGATTCTCCATAAATCAATGCTATAGCCAGACCCTTTAAGGGGATTGGAAGCGGCGTATTTATTTCAAGTTTTAGACCTAAAAGCCTGACAAGATAACGCATACTTAAAATAATCAGATTTAAATTCTGGAAAAAGATTTGAGTTGACCGATCTTTTTTCTAGGTGATGGTGGAAATCTATTTTTGATATTTCTTAAAAACTGTTCTTAAATCTTAGTTTAGTTCTTAAATTATTTTTAGATTTTTAGATTTACTTTAGTGTATTTTTTAAGAAAGTTAAACAGTTATTCAATAATCGAATTCCACAAAAACCAAGAAAAAGGTCGATCAATTCAAACGTTTTTACAAAATTGAAATCCGATAATTTTGAGTTGACGTATTTTTTTGTCAGGCTTTTAGGTCTAGATTGATTAAAATTAGTTTCTCGTTGGAACAAAATATTATATTATTTCATCAAATGGACTTGTGAATGGGCGTGCTAACCACTAGTTGTTTATTTACTACTCACACAACAACACTACACGACTTCAACCGATAAACTAATTGCCTATCGTTTACTCTTTAGAAACAGATCACTTCCAAGTTCCAGCCCCCTCAAGATAAATAATAGGTACAATTAATGGAGAATGCTTTGCAGTTCAGAACAATCAGAACACTTATAAGGTGAGATATAGGCCGGTCAGCGTATTAGGAAACCCAGGACACCACAGAGCGTCTTATGTATACCACGTTCTCATTGGCCCATTTAAAATTGCCCGCTTTTTTTTATCATTTATCAAATAATTTAATTTGATTTAATAATATAATATTAATTTAAATATTATATTATATTATTTAATTTAAACAAATTAAAATAACTATTTAGTAGGAAAAGGTACCTACCTAATATTAAACAATATTATTATGTTATTATAATTCAATAAATTAATGTAGAATGTGATCTCTACACAGTTATTTTTATTTTTTACTTTAGTAGGTACCTATACCTACCTCAGAGTGAACATTTCTTACTGGACTAAGTGTATTGTACTTGTACACTGCTTTTGTGTTAGCTAAAAAGATTGTCTAGGTTCTTCCTAACATAGAAACAAAATACCAATCTTACTTAAATGTTTTATTTTTACTAAAACATAAGATTCTTAATTAAAATAGGTAGGTACCTACCTTACTAAAATGTCATTCTCAAACATTAATATATGTATTGTATTTTTAATAAAGACATAACTATTTTTAGAGGAACGAATTGAACTAGTGTTCAATGATTATTTTAATATATGGAATGGTAGCTACGTACTATGAAGCTAACGGTTTAAAAATCCAATTAAAGAAATTGTTGTAACTTCACATGAATGGTGCAAAAACAATTTTTGACGTCTAGTTTGGTAGTCTAGTTCATCGATGACTGAAAAGCCCTGTTATTATTTTCAATTTTATATTTGTAGGTACACTACATTACTACCTACATCAGCAGTGGTTTATAAATAATATTTTTTTACACATTTATAATTTAACTAATTCAACCTTTTTAAAATGTTATGCAAGTATTAAGTAAACAAAATATATTAAGGTAGGTAAAAAATAATACATACATGTCTACCTACATAGTCAGAGGTAGGTAGGGGTTACATGATCATTGAAAGTATATAAATATTAGACAAAAAAAAAAAAATTGTACAAACATTTAAAACTGTGAACATATTTTAAAGTATTTTTTTTTACTATGATGACCACCTCGCATGTTAAAATGCTGTCAGTTGGGCTCTGAATGTGATTTAATTGTCCTGAATGTACAACATGACTCCCTAAATAACAACAATTTACTAACAAAATTCAAAAATTTGACGTACCCGATAATACTGTATAGGTGTTACAAGTTCCTATATAGATTATAATGACAATTATTATAAAATATACCATTCAATTTTATTATAATTTGATGAGGTAACAACTTTGAACTCAGATTTACCAATTATTTTAGCAAACGATTAAACAATTTGTTATTATATTACATTAAATTTTGTTTATTTTATGATGTAGGGAAGTTTATCTTCTACATCTACTAAGTTTAGTCACAAATAATAATTTAATTTATTGTAATTCCAGTATAAACTTCATAATGAAGTCATAAAATATTAATTCGAATGAAAAAAAACTATGTAAAAACAATGAAAAATACATGATATATGTTCAGTGACCTCTACCATGGGATTTTGCATTTGATTGTCCTAAATTAATTTTTTTTTCATATTCAACATATTTTAAAGTATTTTTTTTTACTATGATGACCATGCGAGGCGCATGTTAAATTTCTGTCTATGTACAGTATTTAGAGGTGAAAAAGCTGGGAACAATCGCTGCAGGTACCACATGGCACATCAGTTGAGCTCTGAATATACAACATGACTTCCTAATTATCAAAAATTTAAACAGAAGTTTATCTTATTTACATCTTGGTACCTACTTCGTTTATTAATTATTAATTAATTGATGTCGCCACTAAAATATATGTAGACATAGCTCCTAAATTATAATCTAAATTTATCAAACTGATAACAGTATAGTCACATAGTTTATTTATTGACTACCAGACTACCTACCAGCTATTATTAATTTGTCAACAGGAATATTAAATTGATTTTTGACTTGCTGTCATATTAAACTTTTATTGTACATCTCCGTTATAGTAATAGTTGTACTTTTAATTTTAAGTTGTTAGTGTTTAAAGCATCTTAGCATTTTCACTAGTTAGGTATTTTTAAGCTCTGGTTGTTTGGGTATTTAACTTGTTGGTGGTAGTTCTCTGTTTCTGCATTTCTGAATAATCAATTATATTGTATTCATAATGGATGAATCCATTAAGTTCTTAAAAAATAATAATATCATTGTGGTTCCTTCTATCAAATGAAGTTTCTAATATAAATGAAAAATACCTCGATTCTTAGAGCCAATATTAATAATGTTAATGAAGTCACCTTACTGTGCTGACATAGGTACCCAATATTTATGAAACATGACTCTGAAAAAAAAAATATCTTATACATTAATATTAATCAAATAGGTAATGAGAACTATTTTTACTTACCTTGATGGCTTGATGGATTGTCAAGCTGACCCACACGAATCCAATTAGTTTTTGAAAATTATTGGTAAAGCATTATGAAATTCTCAACTTCATTAACATTATTAATATTGGCTCTAAGAAAACAACACAAACAACTGAAATATCGTTGCCATGTACGTGAATGTTTCAAAAATCTACAATTCATATCTGTGTCACATAGTTACCACTTGTCAATATTCATTTCTTGTGTTCATTACGAATAAATTTCATTTCTACGTATTTCTGTATAATCTTCTCCGTTAATTCAGCCTATATAATATTATCAAATAAATATGTCATATAGATGTGTATCTATGCCTAACATGGCCGTGATGTGTGAAAATTCCTCAGCCAAATCAACAGATATTGGATGGCGATCAACGCCAAATCTGAAGTTTAACCGTACTAATGATATACGAAGACCGGAATCGTCGAAAAATGTTTATTCCAAAGGTTTTCTGGACGGCAGGCTCTGTGTATCTGAACCAAACATCCCCGTACATCCAAAATTAGCTGGCGAGACAGCTGCAGATATGGGGTGGCGATCAACGCCAAATTTAAAGTTTAACCGTACCAATGATATACGAAGACCGAAATCGTCGAAAAATGTTGATTCCAAAGGTTTTCTGGACGGCAGGCTCTGTGTATCTGAACCAAACATCCCCGTACATCCAAAATTAGCTGGCGAGACAGCTGCAGATATGGGGTGGCGATCAACGCCAAATTTAAAGTTTAACCGTACCAATGATATACGAAGACCGAAATCGTCGAATAATGTTGATTCCAAAGGTTTTCTGGACGGCAGGTTCTGTGTATCTGAACCAAACATCCCCGTACATCCAAAATTAGCTGGCGAGACAGCTGCAGATATGTGGTGGCGATCAACGCCAAATCTGAAGTTTAACCGTACCAATGATATACGAAGACCGAAATCGTCGAAAAATTTTGATTCCAAAGGTTTTCTGGATGGCAGGCTCTGTGTATCTGAGCCAAACATCCCCGTACATCCAAAATTAGCTGGCGAGACAGCTGCAGATATTGGGTGGAGATCAACGCCAAATCTAAAGTTTCAGCAGGTCACCAGCGATGTACGGAACCCGGAAAGTCCGAGACACACACGTCCTCGTCGTTCATTTTGGCGCCAGACGAAGAAATTTGTCAGGCGGTTCCTTTGTTGTTGTGGTTCTGTTGACAAGATAGACCAGTAATATGTACCATCGT